TAGCTGCCCAGCTGCAGGGCTTCGGAGGAACCCAGGGCCTGTCCACTCTCCTCTCTGCCCTGTGCTCGTCTACCCCTCCGCTGGGAGTAGGTCTGGATTCGAACCCAGCTCTGCCAGCTTTGGCCAGGGACCTCTCACAGAGCCTAAAAGGCTAGCAGGCTCATCTCTGAAATAGGCCTGCGTCACCCCTCAGCCAGACTGCGGGGAGCTCTGATGACATGGCTCTGAGCTGGAGTCTGGATCCCAGGGAGAGGCAGAAAAAGCTGTGGCGGCTTGCTGTGAACCCTAGCTGGCACGGGTTAACTGTGTCGCTGCAGCGGGACTCCCCGCTGTAGGTAACTGGGGAGTCTGACTCTGGTCCTGCCTTGGTAAATAAGCACTCCCTTTGGGAAGAGCAGCGGAGCGGCAGAGCCCGGGAAGCCAGCGGCTTCTCTTGAAGGGTGGGAGGATGGAGAATGTATTGTGCGGTGGGTGGAGAGGGGGACACGGGCACCCACAAGACCTCATGGTACCTGGGTCTCCTGGCCCTACCTGATCCCACTAGGACTGGCTCAACGGTGGCTCAGACGTCTCCAAACAACACAACCCAGTTCAGGCAGGAACAAAGCCTGTTGGCGGGAGATTCTCAGCGCTGGGGAGGGGGCGAGTCTCAGAGCAGAATGTCAAGGTGGGGGCACAGCCCCCAATGGCCCTCCTTGCCTGCTGTCCAGACTAGCTCTTGCTCCACCCTGCCGACCTTCCCTGATCAGCAATTTTGTCTTTAATCAAGGGGGAAGTGGTCTGGAGCTGGCCCTGGCGGGGTCAGGATTTGAATGGTGGGGGGAGGGAGAGGGGAAAAGACTGGCTATAACATTTCTTTAGTTCCCTTAGAAAACTTTCACTCATGGCCAGCTTTGTTGCTGGGCTTTCTTCTGCCCACTGGGGGCTGTGGCTGCAGACAGAGCCCCTTGGTGTGGCAAGTGAGAAGGAGCCTGGCCCCAAGGAAGTCCAGGCCCTGTATTCTAATGTGACCCCACGGTTGGCAAGTCCAGTCGCGGTACCCGGTACCCGTGTAGTCATGTGCCGTGCTGTGGTGACTGGTGGGCTGAGCATTTCCAGAGGGGGGCTGCTGGCCTCATCCCTCTGCTCCCAGGAGTCTGAACCTAAGCCCTGGATGTGGGGAGGGGTGCGGAGAGGAGAGATTCACAGAGAGAGGAGGGGTGGCTGTTCTCCAGCCCCAGGATCTGCTTGCAAACTGCAGACGCTGCTGTCTTTTCCTCAAGGGACTAGATTGGCATTTTCATTCTTTCTGTGCAGCCTTGGAGTCTGTGACAGTCCCCACCCTCCCCTCCCTTAATGCTCCTAAGCTTACCCCTCTCAACGTCTGCTTGCCGCAAAGAAATCTTTGGTCTACTGAATTTGAAACTGCTTTATTGAGACCAGAGCAAACCAGCATAGGCTCCCGGGCTGGTGTCAGTGGGAAGCTCTTCCCTCCCTCAGCAGACCTGCGAGGGGCTCCTGAAAAGGCCCAGGGCAGAAGGACCCTGCCTTCTCTCGGTGAGATCTCTGTAGCTGGCTGGGGCAGAAGCGGGGTCACAACTATTGGAGGAAGGACTGGAAGGGACAGACCTTGTAAGCACAGAGCTCCCCCGTTTACAAAATCAGAGTTCTTTATGGGGACAGGTATATCATTCTGCTTACAGACAGGGAAAGAGGACCCAGGGCCCAGGGCCCTCAGCAGATATGGGATGAAACTGGGATTAGAGAGCAGGAGCCCATTAGCCAGGGGAGTGCCCTTTGGTGAGGATGCCCCCCCCCCCACTTCCCTCCCTTCCAAAACTGGGCAGGGCAGAGAAGGGACCTGGTAGGGAGGAGTCATTTAGATGGAGGACCCACTGGACTGCTGCTGGGGCCCCCTTCATGCTCCATGGAGTCACAACCTCTCCATGTGACTTGGGCAGGAGCCTGGGGAGCCCTCACCACTGGGCAACCCAGCTCTAAGATCTTCCACCCCTCCTTGGCTTCTAGCTGAGAAGCCAGCTCTGCCTCTTGCATAGGATAATTTTGGAGGCTGAAGACAGGGTCCTCAGGAGGAGGGAAGAGAGGAAGGAGGGTCAGGAATAACTTGGTGCTTGCAGTGCCATGGACAGAGGGGCTTCCTGGCTTGGGCCTGCCAGCTGCCCAAAAAAGTGTGTTTTTTAAAGATAATAATAATATTTCTTTCTTTATTTATTTTAAAATAATGATAATTTTATTTATTATTATTTATTTTATTTATTATTTTTAAATAATAATAATAATAATTATTTTTTATTTATTATTATTTATTTTTATTTATTATTTTAAAATAATAATAATAATTATTTTTTATTTATTATTATTTATTTTTATTTATTATTTTAAAATAATAATAATTATTATTTTATTTATTATTATTTATTTTTATTTATTATTTTAAAATAATAATAATTATTATTTTATTTATTATTATTTATTTTTATTTATTATTTTAAAATAATAATTATTATTTTTTATTATTTATTTTTAATTTATTATTCTAAAATAATAATAATTATTATTTTATTTATTATCATTTATTTTTATTTATTAGTTTAAAATAATAATTATTATTTTATTTATTATTATTATTTATTTTTATTTTAAAATAATAATAATTCTTATTTTATTTATTATTTATTTATTTATTTATTATTTTAAAATAATTATCATCTTTAAAAAACACTTTTAAAAATAAAAATAATTTTAATATAATAAATAATTATAATAAACAATAAATACGAATTTTAAAATAATAATAATTATTATTATTATTAATACTGGGGATTGAATTCAGGAGTGCTTAACCACTGAGGTACATAGCCAGCTTTCTTTCTTTCTTCTCCCTTCCCCCCCTTTTTTTCCTTTTGGTACTGGGGAAAGAGTCCAGGGGCACTCAACCACTGAGCCACTTTCCCAGCCCTTTTTTTTGCATTTTATTCAGAGACAGGGTCTGGCTGAGTTCTTTAGGACCTCTCTAACTTGCTGAGGGTGGCTTTGAACTCTTGCTTCAGCTTCCGGAGCCGCTGGGATTACAGGCATGCGCGATGGCGTCAGGCTCCCCCAGCGGCTCTCGTTCTAGTCCGGGGCATTGGACACAAAGATCTGCCGGACTAGACTTAGCTTTATTGATTCGAGGAAAGACTCCATGGAAGAGAGAGGAGCCACAGAAATGCATGGGCATCTGGTGGGCACCCTGACTGTTCCTTCTAGCCTGCCCCCAAAACAAAGCCAGTAGTCCCCACCCATCTGGGTCTTCTGCTCAGAACACCAGAGAAGAGACACAAAGGGATGGGGATTCCGCTGAGGCGGTTCTGAGGTCTCCACCCGAGCCATGTGCTCTCCACACCCCCCTCCTTCCCCCCAACCCCCCCCCCCCCACCAGCTATCTTAAGGGACTGCACTGGCCCTGGGGGTTCCCACATCTCTAAGGATGGTAAGAGTGTCCTCAAACCTGCCAGTGCACCTTCAGATGGCTCTAATTCAAAGGAACTACTCCCCAGGGTTCAAAGGGGCAAAGATCCCCTCTACCCAGCACTGAGTAAGGAGAGGCTGTGAGGAGCAGGTACCAGCTCCCCAGATCTGCAGGCAAATTAAGCCTACAAAAATGGCCCCTCCAAAAATCTTGATCTCCCCAGAAAGTTAAACACCTTTAATCTCCTCTTCCCCCTCCCTCCCTATCTTTTAGAGCTGGGGATTCAGAGGGTGTGGCTGCCCCCCCTCCAGAGTGAGGGCTCCATCCCCAGTTGGAATCTAAACTGAGTTGGGGGCTGGGGGGCAGGAGGGACATTGGGGAGACCCCTCCCCAGAAGCTTTGGTGGGGGGTCAGTATCTGGCAGGGTCAGTATTCCCTACCCCCACTCCAGCAACCCCTGGCTGTAGGCTTCCCAGTGGGTCTGGAAGATTACATATTGGAAGGCTAACAACATGTGTCACTGTGGACAAAGATGAATTCAATTGTGTATGTGTTGGGAGAATTTTCATTGGGGGAGGTGTGATTGCATATTTGAATTTTTTTTTAAGTGTATGACCAAGAATCTGATTTGTGGGTTTTGGGAACTGAGCATGGATGCTTATGAATATCAGGTGTGTGGCCAGCACATGTGCGCAGGAGAATCCACGTGTTTATGTTTCTGATGATTAAGACCCCCGCTGTGACGCCAGCATGTGTGTGGGTGGCTGAGACTGAATCGGAGCAGGGTGTCAGTGTGTTTACAGCGTGTTTAGGTGCGCGTGTGCTCTGCTTTTGCTTCTGCACAGAGAATGCCCAGATTTTCTGAACTTTTTATCTATTGTCTGGGCGCCTGGGACTAAGCATGCGGTGGTCTCAGTTGTTACTATTATTGACCTTGCGGTGTGTTTGGGTTGCTGTTTGTGTCTGGGTAGCGGGGTGCGTGTTGCTAAAGGGGCATCTGAATGCCCTGTCGTGCCTCTCCATGACTGGGGAAACTGAGGGCACAATAATTTTTCTGAGTGTTTTTTTGGGCGCCTGCTTGTTAATGTGCGTTTTCCACGTTGCCGTCGTGTTCGTTTGTGTTCTTCTGGGCATATAACGCAAGCCTTGAGTGCTCCGGACCCTCACAGTAAGTCTCTCGAAGTTTTGGGGTGCGTTTCTCTCTTCCGCGCGTCGAGTTTCCTCGAGCGCCTGCCGGCTTAGCCAGGCTTGGTTTCTGCAACTCGCGCTCGCTTGGCGGGCTGGCGGGCTGCGCAGGCACGCCTGCGCGCTGTCCTGTGCGTCCTGTGCGGGGGGTACCTGTGCCGGTCCAGCCCGAGAGTGCACCCGCGTGCGCGAGCGGGCTTCCAGGCTGCTGCGGTGTTGCGGGCGGCTTCGCGAGGGGCGGGGGGGGCACCGGGGCGGGCCGGCCCCGGCGCCGGGGGCGCGGGGGGGGGGGGGGGGGGGGGGCGGGGGGGGGGGGGGGGGAGGCGGTACGAAAAGGGCGGCGCGCGGCGGCGGCGGCAGCTTCTCGGCAGCGGCGGCGGAGAGCAGCGCGCAGCCCGGTGCAGCCCTGGCTTTCCACTCGCTGCGCGTCCGCGCCCCTTTCAGCGTCCGCAACCAGAAGCCCAGCGCAGCTCCCGGAGCCGGATCTGCGCCCGCACCGCTCCCTGGACCGCGACCCCGGCCACCCCGCGATGACCGCGACCGAAGCCCTCCTGCGCGTCCTCTTGCTCCTGCTGGCTATCGGCCACAGCACCCATGGTGAGACCCCCGGCGGCTTGGCTCGCGCCCCCTCTGGGGAAGCCTGCGATGCCCCGCTGGTCGCCCCTTGCCACGCGCGCCTCGGGTCTCCCCAAGTCCCGCTTGTCCCACCTAACCCTAAGCCCGCGGCGCCGTGCCTGCTCGCCCTCCCCTCCATCATCGCATGCCCAGCCCGCCCCCTGGGGTCCCTGGAGTAGGGGAGGTGGAGACCCCAGCCCCTTCCCGCCTCACAGAGTGGTGCTCGGAGGGGTGTCATTGCGCTGATTGAGGAGGTATGGAAAAAAGCGGCGATGCTGGGAGGTCTTCTATAGAAATGCTCAGTGGCGCAACTTTGGGGGGTGTCCCTGCGTGCGTGTTGAGAGCAGGTCTTGGGGGGCATTTGGGGAAGTGACTTGGCCGTGGTAGCCCCCCATTCCCGTCAGGATCCCAGTCTGAGCCCCTCCTGCGTGGCGTTGCGCGTTTCTCTAGGTGAGGGGCTGCGGCACTTCTCTCTGCAGCGGCCATCTGTCTCTGGCGGCGAGAGAGTTGCCCCCTTCCCGCAGTGCCCCCCGCCCCCTCTGCGCCAGTGGTTGTGTGTGTGGGGGGCTATCTAGAAAGCTGGTTGAATAACCTCATACAGCAGGTGCCTGTTAAAGTGTCAGAATGTCTTTTAACAGTGTTAAAATTCAGCCCACTCTGCAGTATGATTGTGTGTCCCCCTTTCTGTGAAGACTGTGGGGTGGGGAAAAGGGGAAATGTGACCTGGGTGCCTGGTTTGACAGAGATGAACCTTTAAAACAACCCAGCTGCCTCACCTGGGAGCAGCCAGGTGAATCTGCCTCGGCTTTTCTAAACTGCGCACCTCAAAATCTGTCCCCCCCTGTTAGCCCACTGTGCAAAAATGAGGGTTTGGCTGAGCTCAAGGGTGGAGAGCACCCCCTCCTCTGTCCCCAGGCCCGCTTTTAAAGGATTTGAGGTTCATTAGGTGTTTTCTTTGAGGAAAAAGAGGCGTCTGTCTGCCGTGGGAACTGGGGGGTGTTCTTTGGTGTCTTGGCTAGGAACATGGCCGAGCATTCTTTCCAAGCAGGTTCAGCCTCTTCCATCCACAGATAAGAAGTACCTACTGTGTGCCAGGCTGTTAGGACCCAAGAGGGTCGTCTGCTCCCCTGGGGGCAGTCAGTGAGTGGTCTGTTTAGAAGAAAATGGGCTTTGCCTTGGTTGCTGGGCCCTTGTGGGGTGAATTGTAACCTTTCTTGTGCCTCAGGAGCTGAATGCTTTCCGGCCTGTGACCCTAAAAATGGATTCTGCGAGGATGACAATGTTTGCAGGTAATGGAGTAGGTCCTCAGAGGCAGCTTGTGGGGTCCAGGGCAAGGTCATGGGGAATCATGGAGTCAGGCTAAAGAAAGGGGGGACATGGCCACTGTGCTGCGTCACACATCTTCCTTGCCTCTGCAGAAAACGGGTGGGGGAATAAGGAGGGGTGGAAATTGTGGGGGCTGTGGAGGGGGGGGATGGAGGAAGAGAGCCCCTTGCAGGGTGAGACCACTGCGGGACACTGCGGCAAAACGCAGCTTTCCTAAGCTCTCAGGGACCCCACTGACTGTCCTTTTGCACATTCTCTGAGTTTTTCTATTCAGGTGATTGGTGTTTGCTCCTGGGACCCTCTGGCCGGGCACTATGCAGAGCCTTCCCTGTCCCCAGAGCTCTTGGGTCCACAAAAAGCAGCCTGAGTGCCCTCTCCACCCCTGCCCACCTGATATGTTCCCATCTGCCCCCCCCCCCCCCGTCCCTCCTACAGGTGCCAGCCTGGTTGGCAGGGTCCCCTGTGTGACCAGTGCGTGACCTCTCCTGGCTGTGTCAACGGACTCTGTGAGGAACCCTGGCAGTGCATCTGCAAGGATGGCTGGGACGGAAAACTCTGTGACATAGGTTGGCACTTTCCTCTGCCCACTGTCCTCCCTGCTCCCCGACCTCCTGCCTCCCCTCCCGCCGCCTCCCTTCCCCCTGGCGCCTAATTCCAGCACACCTAGAGCCTTCTGTTGTAAAGACCTCTATGGCTTCCCGCTGGGGCCCAAAGCTTCCTTAAAGGTAGGGACTTTATTTTGCTCACCTTTGCACAGTTAGCATCCTGAGAAGGCTTTGGGGATGGGGGTGAGGGGGAGCTGCCTGTTGAATAAAAAGTTAAAAAATAAACAACACCACACACAGCTGAGCAGCTTGAACTGTGGACCCCAGGCAACCTGTGTAAGTCACCAAAATACAGAGATGGGGAAGGGCTGGGGTATCTCAGGGCTTAGACACCAAGAAAGTCATATGGGACACTGTAAATGCAAAACGCAAGGGACGAACAGAGAAACAGACAGGGAATGGTGAGTGGGGTTGAATCTGTAAGGAAGGGACAGGCTGCCAGTGCTCAGTGGTCCATTGTGGCAGGAAGCTGGGGGTTTGGATAGCCGAGAAGGGGTTAAAGTGCAGATTGGTGTTATCTGTTGAGTTCATTAATTCATGCCATTTTTGTCCTCCATTACCCCGAGCAATTGAGTGTTGGCTGGGGCTGCCCTTTTAGGCTGCAAAATGTTTGTCTGAACCCACTCTCATTTGGCAAAACCCTCCCCAAAGTCCCAGTGAACAAAAGTCCTCAAAAAAAATCTCCCAGCAGCATACGCAGCTGCCCCAAGGCCTGTCTCCCCAGTATTAGAAAGGCTGTGTGGCACAAATAGGGAAACTGAGGACCACAGAAGCAAAGGGGGCTCCCCCTCCCACTGTCTCTGGCCCTTAAAATCTGACCCCCATCATGGTGCAGGGCTGATCTGCAGCTGACTCACGCTCTGGCCAGCAATTCCGCAGCCCCTCGCTGCTGCCGCCGCCGCCCCACTGCAGCCGCCGCAGCAGCAGTGTCGGCACCAGCAGCAGCTCTGAGCCATCTTGGGATTCAAAGGACCGTGGAAAAGCCACGGTTAGGGGTCAGAGTCAGGCTTTTAACCTAGAGCACCCTCTCTTTGGTATCTGAACACAGAGCACCCTACAGGAGTTTTCAGACAAAATCCTCCCTCCCTCAGCACACCCCTTTCCACCAGGTTGACAGGCTGCCTGGTGGGGGGCTGGAGAGTCTGGGGTCGCATTGCAGGAATAGCCCTCTGGGTAATTACCTGCCCTCTCCCTTCTCCCCTGTTGGGCACCCAGCTGCTGCCGAGCTGGAGACCCCCAGCCTGTGCTGGGAGCAGCGTCATCGTCTGTGCTTTGGGTTGGCCTGGGGGGGGGGGGGGGGCTGATGCGTGAATCGCAAGGCTTGGCATTTCAGGGAGAGGAGCAGGGTCAGTCTGGAGGTGGTCACCAGCTCTTTAGCTTAAATCTAACAGGAGGGGAGGCAGGAGGGAAGAATTAGGACCCTGCTGCGGAGGCTCCCCAGGCTAAGGCTCCCCGGCATTGTCCCAGAAAGATAAATCCTCCTTGTGGTTTCCTTGCACCAGGCCGGGTTCCCACCGAGAGCCCATCAACATGGCGTTCTTGTTTTCCTTTGCTGACGGATTGCAGTCTCCCTTCCACGAGGGAGGGGGTCTCGGGGGCTCTGCACACGTGGAGTTAGCCAGCTCCCCACCACCACTGCCCCCGCCCACCTTCACCTGCTGTCCCTGGACAACCCTGGCTTTCTGTTTGGCAGGTGCAGCAGCCCAAATTACAGAAACCCCTCAGGGATCAGCCAGGGAGACCCCTTCCTTTTATAAGGAGGGAAACTGAGGCACAGAGTGGTGGGGAGGTGGACTTTCTGTCACTCAGCAGAAAGGGACCTGGCTTTGCGGGGGAGCTGAGGTCTCCACCAGCGCAGAGCCCCTGACCCAGGCCCTTTGTTCAGCTCATCACTAGCTTGTCGAGCCCGAATAATGAAGTGAGCATGGCAGGGGGCGTTAAAGACAGAGAGAGTGCGCTAGTGTTCATGGAAACCCGTGTGGGCAGGAGGCGCTTGGATTTTGCCGCCGTCAAAAGATTCAGCCTTTTAATTTTGGACCCCCTTAATTTGGAACCTGTGAGCAGAAAGGCCATAGGCCTGTGCAGGCAGCAGTGGGGTGAATCATATGTCTTGGTGCCTGACAGGGGTCTTTGATGGAAAAGTGTGACGGGCAGGTGGTTTTCTCCAAGGGTTGGGCTGGACTAGTCCCCCAAATGGTGAGGACCCCCTCTCCCAGGTATGTGTGGAGGAGACGAGCACTAAGGAATCTCAGGGGAGGGGTACCTGTTTCGGGGCTTGAAGGGGACGGAGGAAGGGGGGCAGCTGTCCTGAGCTGGACGTCAGGAGCCCTGGCTTTCTGACTTGTGACCTTCTAAGCAAACCCCCACCCTCAGTTTGGGAGTCAGTATACCCTCTTACTGTGAACCCCACTTAGTAGCTACAAGCAGTCATTTGGCAGCTCAGCCGGGATCCCTGCCACACTAGCATCTGGGACAGAAGCTAAGTGGGATTTTTTTCGGTACCCCCCAGATGTCAGGGCTTGCACCTCTACTCCATGCTCCAACAATGGGACCTGCGTGGACCTCGATAGCGGCCGCTATGAGTGCTCCTGCCCCCCTGGATTCTCTGGCAAGGACTGCCAGGAGAAGGACGGACCCTGCGTGATCAATGGGTAAATACTTCTCCCCACTCTGATCAAATGATTGCTGCCTTTGAGTCTTGCTTCTCCTGAAGGCCCTTTTGGCCTGACCCTGTTGGACCTGTCACCTAAGAAAAGATGTAAGTGCCCCCAGGATCCCATGGAGAGCCACTTTAGATGCGTGTTTAGGGGGGAAGGCATCATCTTCATAATTTTTTCAAAGGATCCTGAAGGTGATTTCATATTCTCTTGGTGTTCCCAAGTCCTGATGTGTGTGAATGACAGTAGATTGGAATGGTGAACGGGAACTCCGAGCTGCATAATTTTCTAAAGGCAACATAATAGGAGATCAGAGTTCAGCAGGGCCAGGCTGTTTGTGAAACCCACTTAACATTGTGGCAGGCGCTTTGGGGACCTGGTGGGCTCTGCAGTTGGATTTCCTGGGATGTCTGGAGAGGGAGCCACCGACTGCGGGGCTGGGAGGGGACAGAGAAAGCAGTGGGCCAGCTCTGGGACTTAGCAGCCCTCACCCTTGGATGGGCCTTAGGCTGAGGCCAGGGGAGGTGGTGATTGGCGGGGGGGGGGGGGGGGGGGGGGGTGAGTCAGAGGACATCTGAATCCATTAATCCAAAGGACAGAAAGAACCCTGTCCGGGGCCTGTGCTGGGGCTTGGTTTGGGGTGTCCTTCTACAATGAGCACCTTTGACCTGCCCCTTCAGGGTGGCATACAGTGCCCAGGAGGCCGTAGCTTTAAACAGACATGAATGTGTCCTCCAAAGATCAGTATTCAGAAGGGTGTCAGCTGAGGGAGGTGACAGCTAGACTCTATTGCTCTCCCTTTTAGCAAGAAGGAAAAAAAAAAAAAAAGATGAGACATTTATAATATTTTACCCCCTCCTTGAGATTCCTTCAGAGCCCAGCTCCTGTGTGCCCCCACCCAGAGCCGCAGCAATGCCGATTCCTGGTGTTTATGGCCCCTTTCTTCCCTGGAGTTTGGCATTTATCGAATGACAAAGGGCTTGCTCCTTTAAAAGCACTTACATTAAATGCCCGTGTGCGCTTGGCTTTGAGCACAGGGCTTCAGTTTGCAAGCTGCCCTTGGGTGAATGGGCCCCTGTTAAACAGCCTGCCACAGACACCGCTGCCACCAGCCTAGACAGAACTCATTGCTTTCACTCTGAGAGTCCCCAAGGGTTTCCCTCACAATAGCCTGCAGGCCCACTCCCTCACCAGGAATAAAAATAATAATACGGGGTGGGAGTGGGGCGGGGGACACAGATGGGGCAAGGGCAGCAGAGCCCGGGAGAGTGTGAGAAATGCCCCTCCTGCTTGGTTCTGCCTCAGCAGCCCAGAGCCGGAGCTAAGGGAAGGGGCTTGCTCCAAACCTGGGCTGTCCCTAATGATTCCTCTCCCAGCCTCAGTTTCCCCACCTGTCTAGCAGCTAGCCCTTGGTCCTCTGGATGAAATAACAGGTGGGAGAGGACGTGGGCATCCTGGCATGGGAGGTCAGGTGTGTTCCAGGTTGGCATCGTTGATGGGGTGAGCTGGTGAGCCCCTTGCAGCCGGGGGTCCCAGGTGCCTCCCTGGCTGGCATTCCTTCCCTCCCTCGCCTGCTGTGTGGGAGCCCCTGTCCTCTGGTCAGGTCCTGGACCTTGCAGCTGAGGAGCCTGGCCTCCCCCACCCGCCTTCGCACCCGACATCCCTGTCCTGGCCCACCCCGAGGGCCTTTACCATGTCCTGTTGTGTGTGTTGCAGTTCCCCCTGCCAGCACGGAGGCACCTGCGTGGACGATGAGGGCCGGGCCTCCCATGCCTCCTGCCTGTGCCCCCCTGGCTTCTCGGGCAACTTCTGCGAGATCGTGGCCAACAGCTGCACCCCCAACCCGTGCGAGAACGATGGCGTCTGCACCGACATAGGGGGTGACTTCCGCTGCCGCTGCCCGGCTGGGTTTATCGACAAGACCTGCAGCCGCCCGGTGACCATCTGCGCTAGCAGCCCCTGCCAGAACGGGGGCACCTGCCTGCAGCACTCCCAGGTGAGCTACGAGTGTCTGTGCAAGCCCCCGTTCACGGGTCCCACCTGCGTGAAGAAGCGCGGGGCCGGCCCCTCGCAGGTCACCCATCTGCCCAGTGGCTATGGGCTGACCTACCGCCTGACCCCTGGGGTGCACGAGCTGCCAGTGCCGCAGCCTGAGCACCGCATCCTGAAGGTGTCCATGAAAGAGCTCAACAAGAGCACCCCTCTCCTCACCGAGGGTCAGGCCATCTGCTTCACCATCCTGGGCGTGCTCACCAGCCTGGTGGTTCTGGGCACCGTGGGCATCGTCTTCCTCAACAAGTGCGAGGCCTGGGTGTCCAACCTGCGCTACAGCCACATGCTGCGCAAGAAGAAGAACCTGCTGCTGCAGTACAACAGCGGGGAAGACCTGGCGGTCAACATCATCTTCCCCGAGAAGATCGACATGGCCACCTTCAGCAAGGAGGCGGGCGAGGAGGAGATCTAAGCAGTATCCCCACAGGCCCCTCTATATTCTCGGGGTTTCGCAGAGCTCACTACATGCGGTCTGTGCTAATCTTTGTGGTGGAATTTGCTTTTTTCTGTGTGAAATCTAGTGAACGCTATGCTTACATGTATTGCTTTTGTGTTGCTGTGTGACAAGCGCAATGCCCACGGAGACTATCTCCTCTTTCTCTCTATTAATGCATGATAACGAATAATAATAAGAATTTCATCTTTAAACGAGTAAAAGAAATAAGTATGTTATTCTAAACTCTAAAAAAATATCAAAAGACAAAAAAAAAACATGGTAACAGAACCAGGGCTCTGTGAACCGACATCCCTATCCCAGGGGTCTCAGCCACAGAGTCCTTGCAGAAACCGACACGAGTGCTGTGCATGACCATCCACTGTGAAAGGGCTACAGTCTCTTTGGTTCGTTGATTCTCACACGTCACATCCGACTCGCACTCACCTCCTGCTCCGCACCGCACCCCTGAGGTCTTTCTGATTGATTTGAGATTCCACAGAGTGCAGCGGCAGTGTGTCAGGCAGAGAGAGCCCCGGGTTGACTGCTGGGGGGTCGGGACCCTGTCCCAGCCCTGCCACTAACTCGCTGTGTGATCCTTGGCGAGTCCCCACCCCAATCCCGGGCCCACACTTCTCGCCCCCCTCCACAGAGGGGTGGCAGCACCCACCACCAAGGTCCTGACTCTAAAAAATTCAGAATTAGGAACAAGGGATGTGTACCGAAATGTGTCCTGACCCTGAGAACAGGATCTGATGAAGACTAAGTCTCATCCTGAGATCCGAAAGGTTTTGGCCTATCCTGGATGCACACTTGATGTTGAAATTGATCTTGACTACATTTCTCAAAGTGGGGAGCCTCCTGGCTCACTTCCCCTGTGGGAGCAATTGGCCCCTTTGAGTCATAATATGCCATGGGGAGCTGCCTCTTAGGCAGCCTGCCCCCCTACCCCAGCCCAAGGCCCACACCTGCCACCCCCCCCCCCCCCCCCGCGAGACCCGTAGACTAGACGCGACCCTCAACTCCCACGCACCTTGAACCGCAAGTGCCCCTGGCAAAGTCTGAGCAGCAGCACAGCCCTCACCAAGGTTTTCACAGAGTTGGTGGAAATTGTTGTGGGGCGCTTTCTTGTTCTATGGCAAAAGTGGCTTGAGACCTGGCCATGGATTTACATTTGTGTTGCTGAGTTAATAATCCTCAGATCCCAAGACCTAGCCAGCTTCTGAATTTGATTTCTTCTTTTTTTTTTTTTTTTTTAAAGAGCATCTATCTTTTTTGCGAAAAATAGAGGGAAATGGGACAGAGCTCTGTGTGGCTTCCCAGCCCTGCTCAGGACTAGGCAGCGACACAGCCCCTGTTTACCAGTTAGGGATATTTTGCTTCTTAAGTTATTTGGATAGAGATCTATACTGTAGCTTTATTAAGTATGACCTGCGTGTTTACCTTGCTCCAAGTGCTTATTTCCAAGTCCTTGCCACCCTCATCATCTACCGTCATCCAGATCACAGCCACGCACACTTCCGTCGCCACCCATTGATCACTTGCGCCACCGTCATATGGTCATCCACCTCATCAACTCCCCGTCACTGTCCCAGGTTCATGTCATTTCAAAGCCCGAACAAAGAATTCTTCATAACCACTTCCAGTCATCTCTCCCATTGGTCACTCTGGTCACCCCCAGTCCCTGGTCACGGGCACCCTGTCAAGTCCCTCCTACCCACAAAGTTCCCACCCAGACCCTGTACCACGTAAGCCCCTCCCAGTGTCACCCTGAAGTCCCCCTCCACTTTACCCCAACCTTCCCCGACTTCATTCCACAGGGTGCCCGGGCTCCCCAACTCCAGCCACTTCCCCACCCTCGCCCTGACCCACAGCCCAGCCCCTCCCCCATCCAAGTCCTCTCCCCTGATCCCACTCCCCTGCCCGACGAACCCCCTCCCAAGCCCTGATGACCATCTCCCTCCCCCCGCTCCCATGGCCCGCCCCTGTCCCTGATGACCCCGTCCTCTCGCCACGTCATCCACATGATCATTACATCTCACTTTGAGTTCATTTTATGAAATAAAAATTTAAAAAAGACAAAAAAAAAGAATTGTTGGCACGTGCCAGGCGGTGGCTGGTTCCCCGCCTGGCCGCTCTCAGCGTGAGACCTTGATGGAGTCTGCTGACAATTCTGCTCCTCAGTTTCCCCAATGCGAAATTCTAAGATTGGACAACACATTCAAGTTCCAGACTCCATGTTTTCTTTTCAGTCTCCGTGCTATGGAGAATAGCCGAGTCCCCTGAAGGAGGACAGAAAGAGGTCCGGCTATTGTCCCTGACAGTTCCTCATCCACTCACTCATCATCCACCATCATCCCACCGGGGAGCACCTCCACGCACCTGCTGTGTGCAAGGCAGGGTGCGGGGAGCTGCGGCACTGCAGGCTCAGGGGAGGGGAGCGGCCTGTGTCCGCAGGGAGCCCAGAGCAGTGCAGGTAAATTCCGTGGGAGCGGAGGGTCCTCAGCAGACCCTCCCTCAGAATGCCACCACCACCACCCCACGTGACAAACCATCTATTACCAGCACTTAATGAGGCCGCCCCACCCAAATTCCACAGCGCCCACCCACACGCACCCCAGTGCAGTTGGAGCGGCATCAGCAGCCTCGCCTCGGTCTTACGTCACGCAGAAATGGTCCATTCCATCCTCTGTGGGTTCACCAGATCTGCTGAGAGTGTCGGGATCCCTGGCTGCCCACCCACACCTTGTGTGTGCTTGGTGTAGTATGTAGTTTACGAAATAAACGGAGAAGCTCAAAGACAGCTGTCAGAGACATGTCCCCCAATTCGGTCCCAAATTAAGAGAAGGAAGACAATAATTCTGAAACCAAAATGTTAAAGAACTGTCAATGACGCTCTTTTTAGCTTTTCCGTTTAACCACCAGTCCAGACATGCAAAAAAAACCTTTGTTTATTGAAAAATAAACAACAAGGGCTACTCTGAATCTGTTTCTTTGATTTATTGTGCGCCAGCTACACTCGTCCCCTTCTCGCGGTGGCCAGGAGCTGCAGGGCCGAGGAGGGGGCTCATGGGCCCTGTGCCTGCCCTCCCCCCCACCCCAGGCCCCTCTGGATCCTTGGAATTGGGAGTTTCCTGCTGGGAGGGTCCTCCAGGCCTTCAGGGCCCTTGTCCTCACCCGGGGGCCAGGAGGGTGGTGGGTGGGCCTTGAGGGGGCTACACAAGAGCCCTGGGCCCCTGCACATCACCAGCCCAAGCCCAGGGTAACTCTCTCTGGGCTTGGCCTAGAACTCTGCAACTCCACGTAGTCCATCCAGGGCCTATTGGGGGTGGACGACCAAGAGGAGAGGACACTGTCCATCACATTCTTTGTGGGACTTGGGCCTTTTAAACATTTCTATGACAAGATGTGGGTCCCACTGATTTTCCTGATGGAGGCCTGGTGTAGTTGGGGCTGGGGCCCTGCCTGTCTCCCAGTCCCAGGGTCCAGGTGGCCAGAAGCCTGTAGACCTAACTGACACAGTAAGTCCACACTTTGGGCCCTGTAGGGCACCCGCCCCAAGTGGGCAGCCACTCCTCGGGACCAAGGAGACTCAGTCTGGCCTCTGCTGACCTTGGAGGTGGCCCTTGGTCTGGGGTCCCATCTCCCCTCCTCCCATGCCCTACCCCTCTTTTCTCAGATTCTCCTGGTCAGGTTGCTGCCGCCACCCACCCAGCTGCCCCAGACTGGGGCCCCATGTCCCTGGGACTCCCCTTTGTGATCCACCATGGCAGCTGCTCCTCTGCCTCCTCCCTGTCTTCTCCCAGCCTCAGCCCCCTCTTCCCTCGGTGCCTCTGTGGTCCTCTGCCCCAGCCGTGGCTGCTCAGCCCATTTCAGCAGAAAATGCCAGAGGTCGGGAGGCTGAGGCAGGAGGATCGTGAGTTCAAAGCCAGCCTCAGCAAAAGCCAGGCGCTAAGCAACTCAGAGAGGCCTGTCCCTAAATAAAATACAAAGTAGGGTGGAGGATGCGGCTCAGTGGTTGGGTGCCCCTGAGTTCAATCCCCGGTATCCCCTCTCCCCCCAAAAAGAAAACTCCAGAGGGACAGAGAGAGGACAGGTGCTATCCTAACGCTGTAGGAGAGCCACGTGACAATGTTAGGTCAATAAATACAGCAGCTCTATGCAAGGGATCCGTTTTCCGGGAAAATATTCCTACCCAGAACCCTCAATGCAGCCTGCAGTTGCAGAGCCAGAATCCAGGGGAAGAGCCCTGTGTGCAGGGCCTACACAACCCGGGCCCACAACCTTCGACACTTGGAAGCATTGCCCTGGTGAGGGACACTGATCCTGAGTAAAGACAAAGACCTTCCAAGGCAGGGCAAGGCCAGGAGGATCCCAGTGGGAACACCTGAGAGCAAAGTCGCTGTCACCTCCCCAGCAAAGAAACAAAAATCTGCAACAAAGTAACAACATGTTGGAGAGAGCTGGGTTTTCTAAGGGGATGGAGCAAGCAGACCACCTCCTGGGAAGCATGTCTAATTGAATGCTAGTGTTGCGGGCAGACAGCGAAGGCTGGCGCAGGTCTGGGAGGCATCAGTGAGGGTGGGTCACTTGGGGTCAGTGAGACAAATTGGAGTCATGCTGGGGACCCCGAGAACCTGGGAGAAGATGTATAGTGGCCTCTGAGGTCCAGGATGGGAAGGCCCAGAGGCCCAGGGTGGGCTTAGGTCAAGAGGCAGTGATGCTGGGGGCCTCTGCTCTGCACCCTCAGCTTAGGAAGCAGACGTGGAAGGTCCCCAGTGCAATAGCTTGGGTCCCAAGTGTCCCTTAAAGGCCTCTGTGTTGCAGGCTTGATGCCCAGCTGGGTCCTTCCCGGGAGGTGGAGGAAGCTTGAGGAGGCCTCTAGGTCATGGGGTGGGGGTGCCCTTGAAGGGAGTTAGGGAACCCAGCTTCCTCCTCTTCCTCATTCTCACTCTGCTCCTTCCACACTGGGCCACCATAGGCCCAAAGCGATAGGATTAACTAATCATGGACTGCAGTCTCCAAAACTGTGAGCTAAAATAAACCTTTTCCCTCTGTAAGTGGATTATCTCAGGCGTTTGGAACAGTCTCTGCAAGTTCACATCCAGTGAACTTCAATTAGGGGAACGGACAAGGGATACTGAGGAGTACCTGGGCAGGTGGGTGGAAGATTCCAGAAAGCAGGTGGAGGGGACGCATCTGGGACAGGGAATAA